AACAAGATGTTAGTTTATATATGTGTGTGCGTAAGTTGAAACATTTTCAACCGCATTCACTTCTTTGCCAGTCGTGATGTACTCTTATTTGCAGTTTGTTCGTTGTTATATGAGATTTGTACATGATCATTCGAAAAGTTGACGAAGCAGCTTCGACGAACTTTTTTTTTCATCATACACAATATATTTCATACTGCTAAACAACTGCTTCAACACAGTCATAGTAGCCGAACAATCGCTTCATCACAACATCATCCTCGAGAAACTAGATCATTCTTGTGTCGGCCGAGTCTGTGCAAAAATTGTTATATCGGAATCACGTACGACGAGTTTGCTTTCATATATAACCCACAAATGTGTCAATCTATTTGCTTATTCATTTTTGTATTCAGCCGCTGGATTGTAGCAACTTCGTATATAATACGATCTTGGACCAATCTATTTGCTTGTTCGCCGACTTCGCGTCCTCGCATCAGCATGTATGCATGTGTGTGTTTATGTGTTTCTTTCCTTTCACTCTGCCACGATGTGTGCTATGTGTGAAAATGCATCTGTCGACCGACTTGCGCGTTCTTTCTTCCTCCCGTCTTTCACTCTCATATTACATATGAAATGAATTCAACGCATTTGCTTATTCAACTTCTGCTGCAAATCTAGTTCTCTCTACAACCATGTCAACTTCATATGTAATATCAAATGGATTCAATCCACGTGCTGATTCGTTTTCTACTGTGCATCTAGTTCGTGTATCGACAATCATTTCAATTTCATATGTAATATCAAATGGATTCAATCCACGTGCTGTATCGTTCTCAATGTGCATCTAGTTCGTGTATCGACAATCATTTCAACTTCATATTGTATATGAAATGAATTCAACGCATTTGCTTATTCAACTTCTGCTGCAAATCTAGTTCTCTCTACAACCATGTCAACTTCATATGTAATATCAAATGGATTCAATCCACGTGCTGATTCGTTTTCTACTGTGCATCTAGTTCGTGTATCGACAATCATTTCAATTTCATATGTAATATCAAATGGATTCAATCCACGTGCTGATTCGTTCTCTACTGCGAGTGTAGTCCGTCTTAATCATTCTTCATCTTCAGATATAATATCAAACGTAGTCAATCCATCTGCTAATTCGTTATCTAGTATTCCAGCGAATCCTTTTCTTCCTTTCCAGTTGTATCACATACATGTAACATCGGCTTTCTTTTTCAGTTTCTCATCATCTGATATCGAATCGAGTCAAGTCAGTTACTTGTTCAGCCTCCCCTTTCATCTGACTGTCAAACAATACATTTGTGCATTCAGTTTTCACGAACAAGCTGATTCATCATTTCATTCGCTCATACTCTTCAAATGAAACGAACACTCGAATCATATGTTGTGTCCAGATGTGTATGTGTGTATCTCATATACATGTATGGCACATGTCATCAGACAGTCTTTTCGATTCAACATCGCCCAATAGACAGGAAACAATCGTACAATGGAAGATTGTCTTGTTGGTCGAAATTTCATTCATCTTGCACCGTGTTTCATGTGTTGGTTTGGAACAATTCTTCAATTAGCGTCGTCTTTTCCTCAACACTTCTATCATCTATTATCAATCGTTTGTTTCATTCGTGTCTTTTCTCT